CCAGTTATAATTTGGGGAAAGGGGTCTGCATGTATTTATGACTCCAAGGAAAATGGGGCTCGTTGGCTACCAGAAAGACTGATTAAGCCTTACTCTGCACAGATTGTCTCCCTAGACTAAGGAAAAAATAACTGTTATGTCCAGGACACAACCCTGAGACAAAAATTCTCTCTTTTTCTTTCAGAAATGCCTCTGACTTGGAAAATAAAGGGAGCCATGGACATCTCAATGGCAGGACCTGTTCATCGCTGGCCTCGGAAAATCAACCCCTGTTTCATCATTTGCTTACTACTCTTCCCCCTTCCCCTCTCCTGCATCTCCAAGGAAAGCCCCCATACTATTAAAAAGCTTACCTGGCGAATTTTCACAGTAATGGGGGAGGAGGTCTGGAGGGTTACTGCAAACCATGCTCCCTATTCCTGGTGGCCGTCACTCACTCCTGACTTCTGTCAGCTGGCTGCAGGATTGGATTCTTGGGATATACCTACTATTGGCCAACACCAGTTAAATGGTACAGGAGGTCAAACGATTCCAAACTGCCATCAATTTCCTCGCAGTCCTAAAACCACTTGGACAAGCCCTTGTGGGACATTCCATGATAATGACCCTGCCATGATGACTGCCCCAGGCTGTGTTAGTCCTACAGCTTGTTGTAGGTTAGCACAATCTGACTTTTATGTCTGCCCTAAGGATGGCAGAAGCCGAGCTACGGCTGCCAGATGTGGGGGATTTGAGACCTTCTTTTGTGCTCGATGGGGTTGTGAAACTACAGGGGCAGCTTACTGGGAACCAACTTCATCTTGGGACCTTATTTCAGCTACAAGGGGATACAGTAAACCTAGCACGGATAGACATTTTTGCTTTAGCTCCTATACTGGGAAAGCCCATAATCCTGGGCTATCATTACCTTTAAACATAACCTTCACCCCTCAGGGTAGGGCGAATCGAGAATGGCCCTCAGGAAAAACATGGGGACTCCGCTGGTATCTTGATGGCACAGATAAAGGAGTCATTTTAAAGATCTTGCTAACAATAGAAAACCTGTACCCAAAGCCAGTAGGAACCAACGTAGTTCTCTCTGACCAAAAAGTTCCCTCCAATCATGAAAAGGTGCCATCACCTCCTCCCCCCTCACCTCATCCTCATCCATTTCCCTACCATACAAACACCGTGAGTACAGACTCCAGTAACGGAACTCTCCTTACTCCTTTTGGAGGAACAGGAGATAGATTGTTTAATTTGGTCAAGGGAGCTTATCTGGCCCTAAATGCCACAAATCCAAACCAAACCTTGGGTTGCTGGCTCTGCCTTACCTCCAGTCCCCCTTATTATGAAGGAATTGCCTTTCAGTCTGCTGCCAATAACCTCACTTCCCCGAGTAATAGGTGTCAGACTAAGCCACATAAACTAACACTCTCTGAAGTCTCCGGACAAGGTTCTTGTTTGGACAAGATTCCATCGACCCATAGTCACCTCTGTAAACAAACTCTGACACCTTATAAAGGGAGCTATTATCTCGAAGCACCCAACGGGTCCTACTGGGCCTGTAACACAGGATTGACCCCTTGCATATCTGCTCAGATATTTGATGATTCCCATGAATTTTGTGTGATGGTCCAGTTATGGCCTCGTGTAACTTATCATCAAGAAAGCTCAGTGATGGAATTCTTTGAGCAGAGAGGCAGATACACTCGAGAACCTGTGTCTATGACTATTGCCCTATTGTTAGGTATTGGGGGCATCGCTGCAGGAATTGGTACAGGAACTACTGCCCTCGTGCAGAGCAACCACCTTATGCAGTTACAAATGGCTATGACTACTGACCTAGAGGCCATAGAAAGATCCATTTCTGCTCTGGAGAAATCTTTAACCTCGCTCTCTGAGGTTGTGTTACAAAATAGAAGAGGTCTGGATTTACTATTTTTAAAGGAGGGGGGATTGTGTGCAGCCTTGAAGGAAGAATGCTGCTTTTATGCCAATCACACTGGGGTAGTTAGAGAATCAATGGATAAACTAAGAGAAAGATTAGCACAAAGAAAACGTGATTTTGAAAATCAAAACAATTGGTTTGGGGGTTGGCTAAAGGGGTCCCCTTGGCTTTCTACTCTGATTCCCACCCTCCTGGCCCCCTTGATCATTTTCCTTCTCCTCCTTACCTTTGGTCCTTGGGCTTTTCAACGACTAACACAATTCATCAAAAATCAGATTGATTCGGCCCTATCAAAAACTGTTTCAGTACACTACCATCGGATAGAAACTCATGAGGAAACTATCGGAACAGGTGAAAGGCTCAGGTTCAGTGGCCTACGAACCTGAAAAACCCCTTAAAACTAAAGGCTAGAGGGTACTCAATGACGGGAATAGTATGGGACCTGTGCTGGGAGCACAACGTACAGAGGTCGCCAGAGACCGGCTCAACATGGCACGTTGCCAGCCACAGGATGCACTCCATATAGCCTAAGACAGGGGCCCTCTTGATTTATGACCAAAGCCTGCTTTGGCCATTTTATAGAAAGAAGGGGGAATTGTCAGGAGCCAAGTAGCCTAACCAATTCTCATGGGAAAAAGCTGTGTACCTAGCCTTCCATTAACAGTTTCAATAGCAACCATTTTTCAATAAGACCACAGTATGTACCTTTTGATCAGCTCCTTGAAACATAATGGTTTGCTGTATGGTCCGTTGATCAGGCCCTGGAACAAAGAGACCTTTTCCTGAACCCTACCTTACCCTAACTTCCTCCTACTAACTTTCCATACCCCTATCTACTTCTCCTAGCCCCTAGCATATATAAGCCTGATTCCCCTTGCAATAAACGAGACCTTGACGTGACTCAGACTGACTTTGTCTTCCTTTATGCGCCTGGTCTCCTTTCTCTCTCGCCCCCATTGATCTTTCAGGAGGTGCCTCCTCGGGTCTCATCAAATAACCTGGCCTGCGGGACGGGGCATAAAACCATAATTGTTACCTTCATATTGAGTGTTTTTTTATATAGAGAGGGGGTAATTCTGAGGGAAAGGCTTTTTTTTTAGATTTCTTTATTTAATGTGCACATTGGTGTTTTGCCTGTATAAACTCTGTGAGAGGGTGTCAGATTCCTTGGAACTGGACTTACAGACAGTTGTGAGCTGCTATGTGGGTGTTGGGAATTGAACCTGGTACTCTGGAAGAGCAGCCAGTGCTCTTAACCACTGAACCATCTCTCCAGCCCTGGTAGTTCTGTTTTTAGGAAGTTTTAGCAGCATTCCCTGTGGAAGTTATTTTTGTGCTTAGAACATTCTTGATAGGATTAAGTAAATAATGCATTCTGTGTCTATACACCAGGGACTGAAAGTTTCTGGGTGTCTGCTGCCCTCTTGGTGACTCCATTTACCTTTTCATGTTCCTACTTGACAAGCATGGGCAGTGATGGCTACCTGTGAAGCTGGCTATGTGACCATTACATGAGATGTTCATGTACAGGATAATATGCTTACATTAGAGGACTTGTTAAAAATAGTGAGGGATGCTTCAAATTAACAGCTACCTGTAGCTAGAGATTTCCTGGTCCTGCCTGGCCCATGGTCAGGACAAATCTCTCTCACCCGCCAGTCCTGCAGCTGCTCAGACCCAACCAAGTAAACACACAGAGGCTTATATTACTTATAAACTGTATGGCCATGGCAGGCTTCTTGCTAACTGTTCTTTTTCTTAAATCAACCCATTTCTATTAATCTATAAGTTGCCACGTGGCTCATGGCTTACCACTATCTTAACATCTTCTCATGGTGGTGGCTGGCAGCTCTCTCTGCCTCAGCCTTCCACTTCCCAGAATTCTCCTCTCTCCTTGTCCTGCCTATACTTCCTGCCTGGCTACTGGCCAATCAGTGTTTTATTTATTAACCAATCAGAGCAACACATTTAACATACAGAACATCCCACAGCAGCTACCTGAAGTAATATCTAAGTTTTATAATTCAAGGATGGATTTAGCTTCTTATTAAGAACAAAAAGCTAGAAGGAGCCACTCAGCTGATGGCAATAATGTAACTACAAAGCATAAAGATTAAAGATAACACCAGAGCCAGGCATGGTGGCATACAGCTCAGTCTGGGGATTGAGGAGGCTGCATGAGGAGAGGGAGATCAGGGGTGTGAGGTCAATCTGGGTTACAGAGCAAGACCTTATCTCAAAAATCAACCAACCACCAACAAAAGGAACCCCCAACTTCATAGGAATTAAACACATTAAACAAATTTAAGGCTATAACAAATCCTTGTCATTAAAGTTCTACTGCAAAGAATAGGTTTAGCAATATGAAAGAAAAATTATAAGATTTCACCTTGAATAATGACATACTAACTCTTTGTCACCTACTCTAATATACTCTGTTGTATTAGGACACCAGTCAATGTCCTATTCTTTTTCTCAATTTCCTAGCATGTCAGTAGACAATTTCCTTTTGGGAAGAAATCTGAGCAGTTGGTTTCCCAGATAACACATTGAAAAGTCCAGCCAATTGGGGTACTACTGTAATCTCTGTAGCTACTTGGGGGTGGGAATCTCTCTCTCTCTGATAGAATGAGTTTGAATTTAAATCCAGTGGTTGTGATGGTTGTGAGAGATTTCTCAGATATTTATTTCACTCTGGAAAAATAGCTGTATCCACAGAGAGGAAGCACATTCCAGACATTCAAACAGACACCCTTCCCCAAGTGTTGCCTCCTAGTCATTAACTCCTGATACTTAAGACATTAGAGAGAGAAGGAAGAGGAAACTGGAAAAATACTTAAATAGTCACAATGGACTTAGAGAGTGCCTCAGAAGGATGAGAAAATGCAATGCTGTACTTCAGTCTTGCAAACATCTTGAGTCTATGGAGAAGTTTTAGACTCCAGGGCATTAACATGAAGCAAATGAGAGCTTTAGGGAAAGAGGACCTGGTGGGCAAGAGTAAGGGCTGCTGTTTTGGGCTATGTTTTGTGCTTGAGGCATCCACTAAGAGTCCCTTAAGTATTCTTACCTTTGTTTTCTGCCTTCAGTTCCTCCGCCATCAAGCTGTCTTGTCGGTTCCCAAGCACGAATGCGAGAAATGAGAGGATCAGGGCATCCAATATTCCAATGATAGCCAGGATGTACGCCCAGCGGACAGAGCAGGCCCCAAGAGTGTACTTGTCTGTCTTTTCTCCGCACATCCGTTTTACTTCATCTGAATCCCAGCCATCAGGGAAAATCATACAGCCAAGCACAAGACAGGCAGCTTAGAGAGAGGAGGACAAAAGGAGAAAGAATTAAGCATTTTGTTGTAAAAAAATTTTCTATTGTTTGTCAAACATTTCAAATGTTTGATTTTGGGAGTAGCAAATCTCAGTACCCTTTCCTGCCCACTCCCTCCTTCTTAACAGAAAAGCAGGCCCTGAACTCTGCAGCAGAGAAATTCAGGGCCTGGACTACATGAGCCCATGCACTCTGAGATAAGGTAACGTAGATTTAGCTAGGAGAAAAATTCTAAGAAATTGAATTTTTGTGTATGTTTGCAGGAAGCCTTCCATTGCAAACAGCCCAGAAGGAATCGTCACACTGCAGGATACCAATTCAATGCTGGCTTTGAAGAGCAGTGACAGCAGCCAGATAAGGGATTAGGATAACATGGAGAATATCAGAGTGTTGATTGACTTTGACTCTCTGGGAAAAATAACATTGTGATTCCCATCTCCAGTGTCCAGACATTTCTTGAAATTCTTATCATATGTAGCACCCATTGATACTTTCTATTCTAGTCTCTATTCTATTTCATTTTTGAAACATATATGTATTTTCAATTATAATTACGTCATATGTAGCTAGAGTTTTCCTGCCTGGCCCACAGTCGGGACAAATCTCTCTTCTACCAAGGCCAATTCTTTCTCAGCTTCAGGTGATAATTCTCTTGGACTATTTAAGTCCTTCACGATGACAAACAGCATGTGAAGATGCTGGTAAGCCACGAGCCACGTGGCAAGGTATAGATTTATAGAAATGGATTAATTTAAGCTGTAAGAACAGTTAGCAAGAAGCCTGCCACGGCCGTACAGTTTGTAACCAATATAAGTCTCTGTGTTTACTTGGTCGGGTCTGAGCGGCTGTAGGACTGGCAGGTGAGAGAGATTTGTCCCGACTGTGGGCCAGGCAGGAAAACTCTAGCTACAGTCATATATTCTTTTCTTTCATCCCTCCAAACTCTCCCAAGAACTCTTGCTCTCACTCAAATTCTTGGTTTCTCTCTCTCTCTCTCTCTCTCTCTCTCTCTCTCTCTCTCTCTCTCTCTCTCTCTCTGTGTGTGTGTGTTCTATCTATAGCTCTCTCTCTATATATATATCTATATATATACACATTTCCATTATACATTCCTAAATACATAAATACAACCTGCTTAGTATGCATAAAGCTGCACACATATATATGATTTCAGGGCTGACCATTTGGTATTGGATAACTAATTGCTGTGCTCTTGAGGAGACCATTTCTCTTATTCTCAGCATTCCTTAGATGCCTGTAGTTCTCTGTGTAGGGCTGAGGTTTCCTGAGCTGTCCTTATCCATGTTAGCATGTCTAATGGTGTTATCCTTGTTTAGGTGGCTCTGCTAAAAAAAAAAAAAAGGCTGCAAACCACAGTAGCACAGTGCGACAATGCAGACTTAATGGAAATTAACAGAGCTAGGAAGAGAATTGTTATCTATATTTCAAATATCACTGCATATGGATACCTCCCCCTGTGTGTGTGTGTGTGTGTGTGTGTGTGTGTGTGTGTGCATTCATGCACTCGTGGATGCATGTGCAGGTTGGCAGGTTGGAGGTCAATGTCATGTCTTTACTCAGTTGCTGTCTACCTTTATTTTTTTTTATATTTTAAATTTATTCTTCTCTCATACATTACATCCCCACTTATCCAGTCTCTGATCTTTATTGCTTGTGTATCAAGGACTTTTCTGACTGAACCATTATGTCCCCATGCCTTTTTTCTTTTCTTTTGAGACAATCTGGATATGTAGTCCAGGCTGGCTTTGACTCATGATCCTCCCACCCCAGCCCATGAATTTCTGTGATTACAGGCACATGCTGTCATACTTAGTTCCAAATTCTTTTTCATTTAGAACATTGTCCTTCTAAGAGCCCTCATCGCTGTTGTTTATACTTAGCTTAGAACCTTTGTTCCTCTTGTGTGTTGCTAAGTTTATTTATTTACAGCTGCTGTCTCAAATAAAAATCTTAACTTCCCGAGAAAAGAAACTTTGGTCATTTGTCATAGTTATAGAATGTAAAACAATGTCTTGAACAAAACAGGCACTAAAATACATGTGAATGGGGAAAATGGATTATAATATCTGGGCCCTATACTCTAAAATGTAGTTAGTAGCAGTCAATACCACTACCATTAGTCAATGGCACAAATCTAGTTAAAGAGAGATTCAAATTTGGTAGCATTCAGAGCCAATTTTGTTATGACTATACAATAAATTACAAGTACTTGGGGTGGATTTAAATACAGTGAGCTGGTGAATTGAAAATATCTTCACATCTTGGCTTTCTCTTAGCACTTAGTACATAGCATGCTCATTACAGCATTATCTAGTACAGATTATCCACAATCTAAAAAAAACATGGTTTCCATGAACAGAATTAATTTTATTTTGGACAGTGCAGAAGATCTTTGTGTCTAAATTATATTTGAAAAGTTTCTAAATTACTTTGAATATTTCAAAAATATTTTCTATATATATATATATTAATCAGTTGAAGGACATCTAAGTTTTTCCCATTTCCCATCTATTGTCATTAGAGTAGCACTGAACATGGCTGAGTAGGGGGCGCTGTACATGCCAAGAAATAGTATAACTGATGAAAATGTGATACATATACACAATGGAATCTATTCAGCTGTAAAAAAGTAAATTCAGTTAAATGGATAGAAATGGAAAATATTATAATGAGTAAAGTAACCCAGACCAAGAAGGACAAATGCCTCATGGTCTCTCTTTTTTCTGGATCCTAGTTCCCAATCAAATCTTTAGATTTGATTATAACTTGTAGTTACTTGTAGCAACTGAAGAAATAAGGAACATAGAAAGGAACTGTCGTGTGTGTATGTGCGTGTGCGTGTGCGTGTGTGTGTGTGTGTGTGTGTGTGTGTGTGTGTGTGTACAAACTCTAGAGTAGGGGATAGTAGGACACAGGTACTGTGAAGGGGGAAAACAGAACAGGGAAACTGACAGAGGCATGGAAGAGAAGCAGAGATAATAAAAACAAGGATGCTTGACAAAGCCATAGGGAAACATTCTTTTATAAGCTCACTTAAAATACATAATAGTATATGCATACATAAACACACACACACACACACACACACACACACACACACACACACACACACACACACGCAAAGAGAGAGAGAGAGAGTTTAAATGGAATTATACCACACAGAATGATAACATTCCCTCTGCAACAGCCACAAATTATTTAACAAAAATCCTAGTGCCAGGCATGGGAAAGTTCTCTTTGCATTGTTGGTCACAGGGATCCGAGGGACTCCTTGCAAAATAAAGGCTATTGCCATTGCCTCAATTGTCTCCCAGAACTTGAAGATAAGATCCTACTGCTGAAGACACTACACACCTAGAATACAGGATTTGGTGCTATGCAAGTTGTCAAGGGAGGAAAACCATCAATGGTACTCCCTAGCTGTGAAGTCTGTGAACCACCACAACTGACCTGATGGAATAGAATATCCCTAATGGGGCAATACTGGTACTTTTATCTTGGGGGCAACCAATAGCTCTCTAATTGGACTGAAGTCCAGATCAATGGGAGTGGATTTGTGCCTGGTACTGTAAACCTACCAGTGCTGGACACATCATATACCTGAGAGGACACCCAATTACTGCTATTTTCTAAAACCAATATAATTTCTGACTGTATTTTCAGTGTTTACTTATACCCATAGATAAGTGTAGTTCCTACTCTTCACCAAAGAATCTTCTTTGTGTAGCAGATAGAGACTACTACAGAGATCCGCAACTGGAAGGAAATCCAAAATGGAGGGAATAAGTTATTGTGGAATGCCTAGCCCCAGTTAGTACATCTAAAACACAACCCTACATTTAAGGCTTAGGGAGTATCGTGGAAGAGGGGGAAGAAAGATTATAGGAGCCAGAAGACCAGGATTTCTGTGAGACACTGTCTTTTAGACATGACAAGGAAGTTGCACCCATGAAATCTCAACAATAAACTTGCCTAAACAAGATGTGCACAAAGACAATACCAGATGCGCTGGCTAGTTTTATGTCAATGGACACAAGAAAGGGTCATTTGGGAGGAGAGAATCTCAGTTATGGTTTCTATTGCTGCAACAAAACACCATGACTGAATATCAAGTTGGGAAGAAAAGGGTGTATTTGGCTTACACTTTAGCATTGCTGTTTATTACTGAAGGAAGTCCAGGACAGGAACTCAAACAGGGCAGGATCCTGGAGGCAGGAGCTGATGCAAAGGCCATGGAAGGATGCTGCTTATTGGCTTGCTTCCCCTGGCTTGCTCAGCCTACCTTCTTGTAGAACCCAGGACCACCAGCCCAGGGATGGCACCACCCACCATGGGCTGGGACCTCCCCCATTGGTCACTAATTGAAAAAATGACTTACAGCTGGATGTCATGGAGACATTTTCTCAACTGAGGCTCCTTCCTCTCTGATGACTCTAGCTTGTGTCAAGTTGACACACAAACCAGCCAGTATAGAAGGCAAGCAGATCAAGCTCTGAGGAGGAAGCCAGAAAGCCACACAAGAGTGTGGCCTCTGAGTCAGTTCCTGCCTCTAGATTCCTGTCTTGAAATCTTGCTGTGACTTCCCTCAGTGATGAAGTGTGACCTGAGAATTGTAAGGTTAAATAAATCCTTTCCTCTCCAACAGCAGTGAAACCCTAAGATACATACTTGCATAAATACATAGAAGCAACACCACATGAATAATTTGGGAGGTATATATATATATATATATATATATATATATATATATATATATATATATGTGTGTGTGTGTGTGTGTGTATGTAAATGTAATTACATAAGAAAGGTTCTTGAATTTAAGAGTGACTGGGGCATGGAGGAGTTGGAGGGGAGGGAGGGGTAGAAATGATGTAAATAAAGTACTCATGTATGAAAATAAAAAGAAAACTGACCATGCAGAAACACCTTTTTCTTTTGAATACACAAGCCCCAGTAGGTTTC